GGAAGTGGAAGTGGAAGTGAAGGCGCGAAGGATGTACTATGAAAACAATTTGCTCTTTGTGAGAAGAAAGGAAGCGAAGGAAGACCGGCGGACGCACTGCTGCGAGGCGCGCTAAATAACTGATAAGAAAATGCTGGCCTATGGCAGTCGTCATAGGCAGTGCGACCTGTCAGTTGCAGGCGGCTTGTTGTCGCAGTTGTTGTTGCCTGGCGGCCATGGAAAAATATGGCACACGTTGCGTACACGTCACATACACGTACGCAGAAGAGTGAGTAAGCAAACAAGCCTACACGGAAAAAGTTGATCTTTTTATGGAAATTCCAAATCATCTTAAGATCTATAAAAATCGAAACTTAAAAAACAAGTTTGAAGTTTGTTAAATGCTTTTGAATTAACTAAATCTTAAAATATATACTTAATAGGTTTGATGTAAGCCAAAAGATCTTTAAAATAAATATTTAAATACTTGAGACTACGTTTTGTTTTTGGTTTTAACACATAAGGTTAATTTCTCTCTGTGTAAAGACAGCAGAGATGTGAAAAATGTTGGCAGCTCCGAGGGAAATTGAGAAACTGACGGGGGAACGAGCCTAGAGAATGAAAATGGAAAACAGGAGCAGCACCAGAAGAGGAAATGTCGTGAGTGAATGAGTCTGTTTGGGGGGGGGATTGTGTATGTCTGTGTGCATGTGTTTGCGTGTTTGAGGAGATTGGGGGCGGGTGGAAAGGTGGGGCCTTACGTGGGCCAACGACATGAGCCGTGACGTTAGGCTCATTTATTTATTATTTCCTCAGATTGAAGCACTATCAATAACCAAGTGCAAACAAGGCGAGAAGAAAGAGCCGCATAAATACACACACACACACATACTAAATTTGTGGGGAGCATCTGGCTGGGGAACGTATTTTGGGGTTTGGTTTTATCAACTTTACGGCCCCAGTGGTTCGGCTTGTTTATAGATCCATTCCCAAAAAATCTGAGAGCATCTGGAGGTGCATAAATATGGATACTCACTTTACAACTTGATTGAGTTCCGTCTTCTGAAGAATCGATATGTTCCCTTTAAAGCTGTGTTAGGTGTGTGCTTTATGAATTTTATTAATTGGATTAGGCTTATGGTAGATTTGTATCTTTACTTTGAGCTTGTCATCATATAACAAGATAAACATAGCTTTTTAGGTAATAAACTTATAATCTATCAAAGCTATCTAAGAGTACTAGCGACGTACTTTAGTTACGAATGAAATTTAAAGCGTACTTGGACATTCTTTTCTACATATACGAACGGATATAAAGTGAGATTAATTCTCATTTACATTTCAGAGAGCGCTGGGCCGGATTTCCCCCTTTAAACAGGGTAATTTTCAGCACAACTCATTTTTGTTATCTCTGTGAACTGTTTGCATAAATCAAAACTCTTTACAATTTCCCAGCATGCCTTTGTTTTCCCATGTGTGCCATTCATTTAGTTGTGCATTCACTTTTTGTCATACACTTTTTTTGGATGGCCGGAATCATGATTTAGTGCCGCCACTAGCTTGCTGTTTGGGATGGCCTGGGCTTAATGATGTCAATCGGCGCGTGCTCTGGCTTTAAACTAAGGCCGCATATTTGCCAAGTTTATTTGGGCAGAAGAAGCGGAGAACGGAGGGGCCCGCACACTCATCATAAATGTGAATGAGATACGAGCAGGGCGGGGGGGTGAGTGAAAGGTAACATGGAAAAGCAATCGCAGGGCAAGGGACGCATATTTCATGACCCATCTCCAAAAAAGGTTCACAAGTGCGCTGATATGCGAGGAGATGCTTGCCAAAAAATTACATGGACCATTGGTCAGCAGCAGCAGCAACAGGAAGAACAACATCACAAATGGGCCACCACCAGCATCATGGCCAGTAGCAACCCTTAAACAACATGGCCCCCCCCAGCCTTTTGGGCCTACTGCTCCAACCACTTTCTCGCCCACACTCACACACACTCAGTCGTACACATATTCAAAAAGAAGAACAAAAAACACCTTTGATGTATGTAATTTTGTTACCATTTTTTATGCCTCTCATTCCGATGTTTTGTTTCGTCCACTTTTTGGCCATAATGTAGAGCGGTTTTGTGTGTGCGTGAGCACAGCTGGGGCCAAGTAAATAGGGGGGCTCTGTAAAAATACATTGCTCAGGATTTCACAGATTTTACTGCATATTTGCAAAGATCATTCCTTTGAAGGACAATCAAAAGGTATACAAATTTTCTTTAGAATACATATATGTGCTGCTTACTACTTTAAATTTCTGAGAAAATAATAAAAACAATAGAAATATTATAAAATATTTCAATGTTTTCTTTAATAATCTTCCCTTGCTATGGTTCATTTTTTAATACATTCCTGTTTTTGCAAATCCTTTAAGAAAGATTTGGTAAATATCAAGGATTTGCATAAGAAGTTCATGCTTATAAGCCACAGCCACTACCACTAATCTTTTGACCCCAGCTGTGTGCGTTTGTGTGTGTGAGCGTCCCTCTGCAAGTGTGTGTGACACAGAAAGCCAGTTGTGCGAGGTGCGAAGCTGTGACGTAAGCAGAGAGCCAAAGAAGCGGAGCACTGGTCATCAAATTGGGTTACCCAAAAAAAAAAAAAAAAAAAAAAAAATGGGCGGGGAAAGGGCGGCGGGATGATACATTTTTTCAGTTCACTTCTGCCGCCACAAGGGAAATGAGATTTGCGCTTCAGAGCAGCGTGTCAGTTTCAAAAGCGGAGGAAAAAATAAGGATTCAGGAATAGGGGCGTTTGTCGGAAAACTGAAAACTGAATTTCTGATGAAAACACACACATACATAGGTAGTCGCAATGAAAAGTCCTGCTGATTGATTGTAAAGTCAGCTATCGTTTGAAATTCATATTCTGCCATAAATACTTTAGGGGACTTCTTGCAATTTGAGCCAACTAATTGGCCATCAACAGAAAAGAAAGTTGAAAACTTTGTCGCCCAGAGAAAACTTCCGACTAAGATGAAGTCGTTTATTGACTTTGTGCCACAGATAGGCAAAAGGAATTTACTTGAGACTAATTGAATTACTAGAAAATTGTCATCGACTAAAGTGTGTTGTGTGCAGTCATCGAATAATTATCTCGCCCATAGACAGTTTTTTAGGGAGAGAGAGAGACGACGGCCTTTGACCTTCGCTCCCAAGGAGCAGGGGGCTTAATTACATTGAACTAAATTGTGAAGAGCGCACAGTTCACTTAATAAGTATTTGCCCGGCGACAGCAGAAGCGACAGCGATTGGCACAATTCCCACAAGCTGACAAACTCATCAAAAATTTCACAGCCACTTGGGAAAGCAGAAAAGCGCAAAATTTTTATTGTGTTTTCATTAGAGGCGCGGATATGGTCAAAAGAATGCACTTAAAGAAATGTCAAAATAAGAAAATATTGCGAAAATAATATTAAACTTTTATTTTGAAACAATAAAAAACGAATTACTTATTAAAGGAAACTATTAAGAGGAAGTCTTAATTCCATCCATAACTTCTGTTCCACTTAAATTGTTTTCCTGAGTGTAGAGAGCTAAGAAAAGCAAACCTCCGTCGACTAGGACACTTTTAAGGGGCGTGACCAGGCGGTGTGGCAGCCTGGGTGTGGGAACTTTGAAGAACTTTGACCAAACACCCAGACACGCGCGAGAAATGTGCAGAAGGAGCTGAGAAGGACGACGCAAAGGAACCTAATGAACAAATGAACAACGCACAGATAGAGATATGTATCTCTGTTTGCATATACTTATACAGTATATACATAGTTACGTACAGATGGTCGAACACTTTTTGGGAACAGAAATGGGTGGCAGTGGGGAGGTATGGGGTATGGGGCATGGGGTATTGGGCAGGGAAAATGGGGAAATACTTTAATCTCAAGGGCACGTTTCCGGAAATAAATAAATAAAGCTCCACGGCAGAAAGCAAGGCGAGGCAAAATGTTGTTCTGCCCACAAAGCAGAAGCGGCGAAGAAAAGCTTTCTCGGCATAGAAAACTCTTGACGTGAGCTAGGGAAAAGAAATTCTTTTAAATTTTAATGATACAAAATATTTGCACAAGGAATTCATCATATTTTCCACAGGCACAGGCAATTTTCATAATCTTGGAGTTTTGTTTTTCTGTGTGGCCGGCTCTTGGTTTTTAATTAATAATTCAGGAAAAAGAAACTCTGTTGATTGTCTTCTAACCCAGAGGGGGAATTCGACTTCAGCTTGGATGGCCAACTTGAAATTGAATTCAATCGCAAAATTAAAGAAGTAAAGCGGATAAGCACGAGCTTGCCACACCAAAAGAAAGTAAAATATATGAAAAGTAGTTTTCCCTCTAAAATAAATAAAAATAAAATAAACAAGGAATTAATTATAGGGAAAGACCATGAAGAGCTCCTGCAGAGTCTGTAATTAAAAAGGAAACCTTTTGTTTTGTCAAGTCATCGATAAATTAAAGCGAAACAAGAGCTGAACCCAGATTTTCTTCTAATTTTGCTTATCCACAGAACCAAATCGCAGCTCGACAGCTGACGACAGCTGATTGATGATCCGCAAAATTACAAATTACACACAAATGTTATCCGAGCCAGGAATTTGGCAGATAAAAATCGAATACCAAGCAAACGCACGCCATCCAATTCACTTAAGGCGTTGCACCTTATTTGCTTTCACCCAAATGAATCAAAGTGATTGATTATGCTTTATCAAGAAAATGTTTTAGGTCGCAATTAAAACCTAGAAACGATAAATGTGGTCATAATGACAAAATTTTCTCTCAAACCTTTGCTCTCGTTGGGGCTCATTTCATTTTCAGAAGAGGCGTCTTGGCTCCTGCCGTGGGAAATTGAACAGCAGTTGCTACGCACACTTCTACTTATTTTCGCAGGACAAACAGTGAGAATGCTTTTAAAAATATCAAATTTCCGCTTCCATTGAAGCGATGCCAGTCAAAATGCCCAGAAAATGTTTAGAAAATCAACTTTTTAATGGGAAAGTTTGTAAATGATAAGCATAGCAAAAGCTAGGTAAACAGATATCATTATTTTGATAGGTTTTAATAGAATTTAAAACAGTTTTCTTACGAAGAATACTTGGAAATTTATGTAGATTTAATTCAAAACTTCTGGGTTCCATTTCAAAGCTCGTAGTACTGTCCAAGAAAGAAACCCTCCTGCTGATATGTTTTAATTCTCTGTAGAATCCCTCATGCGGGAATTTGTTGTTCCAAACCCAGATGATACGGTTGGGCATTCCAAGGTGTTTTCACATTCCTTCAGTTCAGTTCCTTCAGGGCCAAAAGGGCAGTGGTTACCTTTACACTGTCATTTTGAGCATTTCCAGCAAGGGGTCTTGAGTATCCTTCAGATAATGTAGACTGGAGATGTTTTCTCATTGGTAGGATAATATGGCTAAGATAACTACAGGTTCTTAGCACTTTAGGCCAGGGAATCATGTGTCTAATGATTGTAAGACGTGGTGATATTTTTCGCTATGTTGAGGGCTTCTTTGATTCAGCTAAATCTGTTGGGTTCATATTTTTAGAAGAAATGATGATATTGTTAATATTTGCATTCTGATTGGCCAAAGGTACACTTCCTAGAAATGTCATCTGCTAGTTTATATGAAAATAAGTAGAATTATCTATTCTGCATTGGTTACTAACAACCATATTCCTTCTTCAACTAAGATCTTTACAGATGTTCGCACTATTAATATTAATTTAACACCTCATAATCGTAGACATGAGGGTCGATTTCGTAACGCTTGAGGCGCTCATAGTACTGGCCAAAGAAAAAGGCTTCTGTCTGGAGGGTCCTGTACATCTGGTAGCCGTCTTGAGAGCTGTACCGATTGTTGTAAGCTTCAACGCAAGGACTGCGTAAATAAGCCACATAGCCGTTATGGCCCATCATATCCAAGTCACAAACACAATGCAAAACCTGGTAGTCCTCTAAACTTTCTTGGCGCCTGCGCCTAATATGTGAAGGTAGCATGATCGGGGATGCTCTCTCCACTGGCTTAACCGAATCCATAGATCTAACCGCTATTTGCAAAGGTATGGCTGCTACTTCCATCGTCATCTAAGGTTTGTGTTGGATATTCTTTTGTTAATATCACTTTTCATATACCTCAATTTACTTACCAAGACACCGCAAAAAATTAAACATAAATTCCAATAATAGGTTAACTTCATTCTGGACTTTGGGTTGTGTAGTGTACAGAGTTGAGAGAGATGTGTGAAGGGTCTGAGATAGATTTCTATAGCAAGGCCATCTGAAAACTCAATAATCTTGGTTATTAAGTAGTTAAAAGAAACCATAAAAAGGTTACTTACGAATCTATATAGCGTCTTAATAAAAGATCTATTAAATATTCTTTGTTTGATAGAATTTAGCTTTATCAGAATCAGGAAACTATATATATATATTTCTATGTAAGAAACGCACTTAAACTAAAAAGTCCTTGACGCATCGCCAAGTGGCTAAGGGAATGTCCAAGCACTGACAGCTGAAAGGATGTCCCGACATAAGAGAGAGAGAGGAAACGCGCAAGGATTCGCAGCATGTAAAGTGACAGTCGAGTGCTATATAATAGCCAACGCTGATAATGACCACGAGCCGATGCCAGATCGATTCGCATGGCGATGATATGCGAGCCGAGTGGAGGAACATTTCAAGTGTGAAAATAATATGACAGCCGTAATCAAGGCGTTGATGGCAGAACTAACCTCTCTCGCATTCTACCCATATTGATTTCAAGCTGAAGGGCTGCAGGAAATGGGCAAAAATATCTGGCGGAAATGTTGAGCGAAACAGGGTGGATGTTTCCAGGCGAGATGGAGTCGACTGATTGTTAACACATGTCACAGGGCCATAATTGCAAGGGGGCAAAATAGAGGAGAGAACTGAGTTGCTAGCTAGAATCCAAGCAAAATGAATGACAATTGTTTTGACACGCATGTTTTGACATACAGAAAGAGACAGGGATAGGGACAGGAAGCTGACACGGCCATAAACACAATATGCGAGCGAGAGAGAGAGCGTTCAACGGGCCTGCTGTTTCACATATAGAGATAGATGTATGGAAGTCGCTTGCAACACAACTTAATTGAATTTTTAAGGCCAATTCCGAGGAAGATTTATGTGGAAATCGTTTTATTGCACATCCTTTTCGTTTAGCTTGTTGACAAGCAATTTTATTAGGCCACAGCATCAGGTTGAAACACATGTTAGTACAAAAAAAAATAATTATACAGTATTTAAAGTCTATCCGAATGAAAATATTCTATTATTTAACTGCTTAAAAGGTTTAAAGCTAAACCCTAAACTGCTAAATACGCATTATTTGTGGTAAAGCGAGAAGAAACCTTGGGTTTGACCAGAAATCTGGATGCCTGTCTGTCCGTCTTGTGGCTTTTTGGCTAACCAGGGGCAGTCAACGATGATGACAGCGAAGCCACACCTACTGTCATTTTCCTGGCAACGCTAAATGCCTTAACTGTTAATTTTGCATCCCATTAAGCACGGCAATTTGCGAGGGTCCAAGAAGCGATCTCTGCTTATGACATCTCAAAAACCACCTTAAACTCAACCTCAAAACCGAACCTCAAGCTTTTCGAGCATCGCGAACGTTTAGACTGTGAGTGGAAACATGGAATGCAAATATTTTCACAGCGAATTGTGTGTACCTGCTGGAGATGCAATTTCTGGGCAAATGTGACGCTTAATTAAAGCCAAGCACAAGGGGCCTACAGGTTGGTATGAGGGCCTGTCAGTCACTCAAGGGCTGAAGACTGAAGCGAAGGACGCCCGAAAGATTGACGATTGCTGAGGTGCACTAAGGTAGCTGATGAATGTGTCTGGGTGGTACTCCTCGATGCTGTAACTATGGTCAATGAAATAGCACCAAGAGTTTCAACTTTGAAAATGAATTATTTTGTGTAGATAAAGACAGCGATTTCTTAGTTTATCTCCTTAAAATAAACTTCATTCTATAAAGTGATTAGTCAGTATTATTAAATTTTGCACGCATTAAGGAGTTTTTTGAGCTTTAACAGCAAATTATGACACAAAGCCCATAATAAATTGAGATCATATTTCGTGTATAAAACTGTGGCTGCCACTCTGCCTTAGTGCTATAATTTTGGTTGCATATGTATATGTCATACTCGTAAATGCATTGGGCCAGGATAAATTCTCTGTTTCGGTGGCGATAAACCACGTTACCGGCCGAAGTTGCATGCCGGCATGGCAATAACTTGTCCCTGTCACTTTCCCTCCTGCTGTCCCGGTAGCGGACTATAAGCGCATTCCATCTTCGACTTTGCCAATAAAGTGAAATATCCTTCCACAATCTCTTCTTTCCCGATGGCAAGCCACCGCATCATTCACAGTGCTTTATACTCCTTCGTGGATGCTGTGCTGGCACATATTTTCGCCTGCTGTGCCAGCAAATTTGTTGCAGGACTCGGCTGCAACAAAAGCTACAACTGCATCTGCACTGAGAAAGTAAACAGAAATTCTAGAAGTAAAATAATTTTTTAAAATATTTATTTTGAAATCTCTGTAACTTTTCCAATTTATTAGTTTTATAAGCGTAACATAACATTTAACAAAATAATATATATAAAAATCAAAACCCTTTTCTTTCAGTGTAAAACTATAACTGCCTCTGAAGCTGTAGCTTTAGCTGAAGCTGCAACTGAATGTGGAGCCACACACAAGCCCGGCATTTCTGTTCCCTTTCTTTACACCAAGTTGTTTTTCATTTTCATTTTGTTTTTCCTTTTTTCCGCTTTTCGCACGAAGCGCCGCGACCCTTTTGTTTATTTGCGCTCTGTCGAATCACAAAAACTGTAGCGCCATCAGTGTTGGGTTTGGGGCCAAAGGGTTGGATAAAGATATGAGGGGGGCGAGGGGAAGACAACTGGATGTGGGCACCTTGCACAAAGGCGATGCCAGCTACGTTGGGATGAACTAAAGCGCAGCTAACAAAATGTTTATATGCCAAGGGGTTTCTAGATAGAGATGGTAAAGATGCAACTTCTACAAAGCTGAGGTACAGCGAAATATGACCAAAACGTGGGTAGAATTTAAATACTAAAACCCGTACTTCATAATAAAGTGAATTAAAAATATTTTACTAAAATGAAACTTTTAATTTTCGAATCACATTTAAGATTTCTTTGTACCAAAGTAAGAAGTATCCAGGTCTTTCCACAAGATAAAACTACAGCTGCACTAAACTCAGGAGGTGGCGCTGGGTGTTGGGTGATTGAATGGGTGGCGCCCCTGGCTTACTGCTCACGTATGTGCAGTTATAAATTGCAGTTCGTGCGCCACGTTTGCCCGGTTACACAGATGCAAGGGAAGATCCAGTGCATCGACAAAGGAAAGGTGGCTCCATGGTTATAGCCCTTCGTGTTTCTGCTAGCGGCGTTTTACTGCGAAAGCCAAAAGGGTTAAAACGGGAGGCCAAAAGTTATGCAAAGGGGTAACAAAATGTTGTAGTAATAGAATTACTAAAAATACCAAAAGCTTGGCTGTAATTAAATATTTGAGCGGCCCCACTAATGACAAAACTATGCCAAACTAGACTCATGGCTAGATTTCGAATTAAATTGCTCAATTATACATTTAACGGCAACGAGGGTTTCCGTCGATAATTGCAACAATAAAATGCACACAACAACGGGGTAAAAATTAAAATTGATATAAGATTAAAGCGCAATAATAACACGCAAATAAAAATAAAAGGGGGGGAAAAAAGTGAAATATCCCAATGAAATCGGCGCTTGTGCTGGCCGCCGCCGCCGCTTTAACCGCCGCCTGGCAGTGGGGGATCGAATGCAGCTGCATTAATTTGCATGGAAATGCGGCAACGAGTTGGGGCCGAAATAATTGCACAAAAGGGGCTGCATTGAGATGGGGCTGGTCGCGGGATATCGATAGTCCACACGGGTCAGAGCAGCACAATTTAGTCGAATGCAAATGGGGAATTATTGGCAAGCATTATTTACTTAAACATTAAATGCAATTTTCAACTTTATTTAACCTCAATTTTGATACTCGCTTGTTGTGTTACACAACAGGCTGCCGCTTGACTTATTTTGATCTCGAATTATATGTAAATGTAAAACAGGAAGTTCTTTGTTTATTTTGCTTATCCGCTGTGTTTTTATATTAATAAGCGTGCAGGATTGGAGTTGATGAGCTTTGTAAGCTAAAATAAGAACGTTAATTTTGGGTAGTAAAGAAAAGTCTTAGCTTGTTCTCGTAGTTTTCTGAAAGCAGAAAATAATACAAATACAAACTGAAAAGCTTATAAACTAGTCAGGAAAATGTCATTCGTTCAAATTGCTCTCACCTCAGCGGCTTAGTCATTTAATTAGCGCTTTAGTCATCAGTGAAAATGCAGCTTCCTTTCGATGAATGGGTTCTCCCTCAATCTGTATTTTCCCATGGAAGTGTGCAATTAGGGGCGTCAATTGTGGTCAGCGTTCGCGTGGAGCGAGATCGTGTTCCATCAACTTGACCATGGCAACTTGTCAGCGTTTCCGACGCATCATCCACATCGTCCTTTTCGTTCCCGATGCTGTCACATTCGCGTGACAAATGCGCACTTGGCTTAATCAGATGGAATATGCCCTTGCCGTGGAGGGTATAATCACTTTCACAGTCAGCTTTGTGCTTTTAATGCGCCACGGTTTTTCCTAGAGTAATTTCCTTTTTGTGTTGGCCCCAGAATCGCGATTCTTGCCTCTAATTAGTAGCCTTTTTTTTCCACTTCCGCCAGTCCTCGTCCTTCGTTTTATCCTGGAAATGTTTTTGGGGGCGACCGTAAGATTGATGGTGGTCCATTTTTTATGCACGAAGCTGTCTGTCTTTTGCAATGCGATCCGGACAAATGGACACGGGATAGCGGATGGCGGATGGCAGTGGGTTCTGGTTCTTGGCGATTATTTCAAAGGGGGGATTGCATTAATTAGCTAAAAACAAAAGCTTGTTAGTTCTTGCTGATGCTGCGCAAATCGCACAAATGGCCATTAAATGCTGTCAGCCTTGGCAAAAACCATTTTGACACGAAAACTGGATACGTATTTGTCCAGATATATGCATTTTCAATTTGATTTGCCCGCATGCATATTATATTTATAAAGTCTATATGCATAGCAGATGCGGTTGTAACAATATTGGCTAAAATTCCAATGGGACTCAGCGAATTGAGTATAGTGTGAAAATTGTTTTCCACCTTCGATAGCTATAGGAATTACCATATTTTCCCAGCAAACGGAAAAGAGAGAGAGAGGAGCCAAAGGGGCTGAAATGCAATTTTTACTCCGCATTTTGGGTTACTTTGCAGCCAAAGCTCGAAAAGATGCTAAAAATTGCAACGGAATTGCAAATGCTGTTGACACTTGCACAATGCAAACAATTGCCCCAGCTATCAGCTTTTCCTCCGCTTTCCATCTCTTTTTTTTTTTTCGCCCGCCCTGTCATAAAATTTTCTCTCTTTTTGGGATTCGAAAGTTTTGAGTTTGGGTTTCCCTGGCAATTTTCATGTTTACGTAGGTTTTGGCAACACTTGATTGCCTTTTGGGCTTTGCCCAAGGAAAACGGAACACTGGATAGGTGCCAGGAAGGTGCCCCCCTTCCCCCTCCACATTTTCCTCAAGGTTTTGTTTGGCTCTGGGTAATAATTTTAGTCACCTTTGCATAATCATGGGAATACAGCATAGATGATATACATTTTCATACCGATTGTCGTTTTGAAATGGAAATTTCCAATACGAAGATTGAATTTGCATTGAAATTAAAGCCATCAAGTTGGTGCTAGTGAGTATTGGTTACCTTATCCTAAACGTGTGCCCATATTTTGATAGCCTTTCTATAATCATGGGATTTGATCATTGGAACCGGATGTGTATTAAGTCAAGCACAAGTTCTTAAGCATCTCCCCCATATCCGATTTTTGTCGTTTGTGTTTGTGCAACATCTGCAGTTAGTCCCCTCGACATACGATTGGCTTGCAGGCTGCGGCTCATAAATCATATTTGTATTTGGATCTCGTTCGCCCTTCCCCCTCCCCCCGCAACATCAATTTCCTCCGAGTTTTCCCGCAGCGACGACAACATTCAATCAAAATGCTGCAAAATCCCACAAATTTGTTATTCGTCACGTAGCCAAAGAGGAAAGTTGAATGTGTATGTAACAGAGTTTTTTTTCTTCATTTTTCGGAAAGAGGGTTTGCGGAGTATTACGTATACGCCCAGTCAAAAGGCATTTACGAAAAGAGTTTAAAGCCAGAGCGGGCATTTAAAGTGGCATAATATGTAAATATCGCCATAGAATAATATGCATTACCCATTCCGCTCACAAGGACCCCCTTCGAAGCCAACATATGCCGTACATTTGCCAGAGAGACAACTTATCAAGTTTACACTCAACTGAATATTTAGAGTCGCTGTTGAGTGGAGTTTTCCCCCATTTTCCCCCATTTCATTCGGCTTTCTCGCACTTCCCTTCTGCGCATTGCTTATTAAATATTAAAATGATAAGGAAACGCAAAGGAAGGGTCTTCTTTTTGGTTTTCGGTGTGTATGCTTTGGGGTTCTGCTCATGTCTATCATTTGCCTTTCGCCTGTTTATTTTTTCTTGGTCTAAGCTGCTTTAGGCTGAAATCTGGCAAGGAATAACCAAACTGTCAATGAGTGCTCTTAGTCGGATGTTAAAATGGTTAGATATTCATTAGTTAGAGGAAATTTGGCTAAAATTACTTACTAAAATGGCAACTCTTCTCACACTGGAAGTCCTAGAATCTGGTTCAGCAGCTTGTAAATAAAAAATTCTTAATGTTTGCTGTTTTTCAAGTTTAATTTATGGTTTTTTATAGAAAAGATCAAATGAATATAAATCCGTTTAAATAAAATATAAAAAATAGTCTCTTGTTTATTTTTCGCTTTTTTAACTTAAAAAAAAAGAGAAATTATTTATGTTTCGTTTTCGTTCACTGCAATTTATCCATCTCAATTCTTTCGGCATAATTTTTTGTGGCATGTTTGATTGGCGTTAAAATCGATACTAAACGCTCTTTTCAAGGGGTTTTAGCCTGATGCTTAAGCCATTAATCGCAGTGCCATTACTCTTTCCCCTTCATATGCTAATATCTCCATTCATATTTTCCATGTCGCAATCATTTTGTGCGATGTTGTGTCTCTCCTTTCAGCTTTTTTGTGTGTTGTTCTGTGGCATTTCTTTAGCCTTGATTGCAAGCATTTGCATAATTTAAGAAGCTCTCCCCGCCTGCTTTGCTGTCTTGAGCTGGCAAAGCATGAAAATGAAAATGAAAATGAAAATGAAAATTCCAAGCCCTGCGCTGCGCTGTGCTGTGCAGAAATTATCATATCTTTTGAAGCTCTCTGTTCTAAATTATTAACGAAATAAATAGCGAAGGCAGCCAAGACGAGGCGCCCAAGCGCTATGGGAATATTGAAAAAGTTTCGCATTTCCATTTCCATTTACCATCTACCATTTTTCCGTCTTCCATTGCCATTGCAGGAGCCAGAGTGGATAGATAGCAGTGGGTGCTGGGAGCAGGGATCGGCGGCCAAGCAACGACAATCGGGGGCATGTCCACAGCCAAAAGGCTGGTGCTCTCGCTACGTGGACGCAAGAATTCGCAGGGCAACTCGGCGACCTCATCCACCCGCCTGGTATCCGCCGGCACATCGCCCGGCCATGAGCTGGACGAAATAGCAGTGGTCTCGGGCACTGGATCCAGCAGTCACCACTTCTCCTATGGTGGCTGCCTCGCCACCGGGGATGCGCCTCTGCCGCGCTACTCAACAGGTAAGTCCTCTCTATCCCTACCAACTATGACCTCTCAAATATAGAGAATCTAGCACCTGAACTGCAGTTAAGTAAAGTCACCAAAATGTAGACCCACCACCAATTACCAACCACCACCACCACCTGCAACACTAGTGTGACCTTTGTGATAACCCCCAATGAACCTGCCCTGCATGCTGTTAGAAGTGTTCTATTCATCTCATGTACACTAAGGGCAAAGAGTTAGCAGCTAACTACTAAGCTTAGCTCGGCAAATAATAATGGTTAAGCTGAAGAAGAAGTTTCTCACATTTTTGTATTTCTCTGTGCTTACTTTTAGAGAGGGAAAATTATTTGCCATTTACCATTTAGTTTCCATTTCTTAGGATTTTTGTACGCACTTTTCCTTTTCTTAACTTTATCAGAAGACTACAAAGGGATAAGTCTGGGATTTGCAATGCAGAACTATTTCAAGTTTTGCAAAGAAGAAAGAATATCTTAAAACGAGATTAAGTTTTATCGTGCCATAAGTTTTATAAAAGATGAATTTTAGTTTACCGAAAGGCATTTTTATTTTATTTTCAATACGTGACATATTGAATTTGACTTTCATGGCTTTAAAGAGGTTAAAAATACATTTATGATTTTCAAAACCTCACCTTCTTTGTGTACTAAATGAGATTTTGTCGAAAAGGTGAAAGGTTAGTTAGTTTTGGTGAAGGTAATTTTGATTTCTGAAATCAAAGATCTGCTTAGACTCTGTTAGCCTGGTTAGTAAGTAACTGGTTCATGCCGATCCGAAAGCGGTTACAAGTAAATGTAGATTTAGTGTTTGGGCCTTGCTAAATTATGGAAATCTGGGGCCTGATGAAAGCAATGAAGATTTGATTTGACAAAAGCGCCTTAGCAGAAGGCCTTCTGCCACTGACTCTCAGAAGGGCAAAAACAAACAAATAAAAAACAATCTTGGCCAACCTAATGGCAGCTGTTGTTGGCCCTGCAGAATAAATCAATCAAATGACAAATATGCTTAGGCAATTGTCAAGCCAAGTGGCTGCCTGGGTTTTTGGCCTAATTTCATTCGGAGGCTGCGGTCGCCAGTTGGTTTAAGTTGTGTGTTTGTGTGAAAGCCAAAGCCAAAGCCACATGAGCATCGAGCATCGAGCATCCTTCGTTAGTTTCCTTGTCACATTTTATAGGCCGCATATGTGGCAAAGATTTTCCTCTCCTGGCTCAGACACGTTCCTTGTCCGGGCTTACAGTTAATTTTGAGTGAAATTCAATTTATCATTGAGCGGGGCATAAATCCGCATTTGGGCCACTTTGGCTCGTTACGGACAGAGAACTCGCAGAGCGTAATTTATTTCGGTCGATTCTGTTTGGATGTCGCATAGTATTTCCCACGACATTACCAAACTGCCTTCAATTTGTCAGCGATGAAACTTTACCTCACATACCTACCATAGTATTGTACTGGCTATGCATTTAATGGGACTTGTGCAGTACATTGAGCATTTAAGCATGGAAGTTCTCTTGTTTATTGGCCAGAACTGTAATCGACATTTATCGTCTGTTCTATGGCAAAGACTTAGCTTTAATGCCTGCCCACGCTTTAACGCTTTCGTTAGGTTGGCAGGAGAGGGGAAAAACACAGTACGAATACATAGTATGTAGATAGATGCGGAGTGGATTCAAAACGAAGCGCGCGAAACATGAGCAAAAAAGTTTTCTGCAACTTTTGCCATATTTTTCCACAGCCCCAAATGCTTTCGACAATTTTTAGTACATTGCCCCTGTCAACTCTCGAACGTACGTAGGTACACAGGAGGAGTATGTGTATATTTTTGTGTGTGACAAAGGCAATTTTGAACGCAGCTTTGATCAAAGTTTTTTGGGGGAACCTAGCATCAGTAAATTAAATTTGACTTACACACAAAATTCGGCATAAAATAGGGAAGAAGAAGTAAATAAATCTATGGCATAAATTTGAGCTATATGCCATTTGCAAGCTCGGCAAGGCTCCGTTTAAATCGATATGCGCAGCTCCTAAAAGCCTGGAAAATTGAATTTGCCTGAACAATTCGTTGCCTACTTTTGTGGGAAAATCGATCAATGGAGCTGAATAGCATTTATATATCTATTAGATGGCCAGATAAAACGTTTTTCATATTCAACTCCATCTGGTCCCCATTGATATATGTGTGTGTGAGAATATTTTTGATTTTTTGCCTAGAAATACCTTTGTTCGAGTCACGTTTAACTGGAAAAAGCCAAAGGATATAGCCATCAACAGTGGCCACTATAGCTTCTTGTCTCTTTGTCTCTTTGGCCGTTCCTCTTTTGTCTCTTGTTGTGTGTCCTGCAATAATTGAGCTTAGAGGGTCTTATGGCAGCTGCATCATTGATTTGCCACCCGGTCTCTGAGGAGGGGAGACAATTCAGCCCCCGCCGTTCAAGTTTTCGGAAAAGTTTCTCGTTTCTCGTTTCGTTTTTCTTTGCATTTTATTTGGTTGGATTTTTGCTTTTAGCCCAAACTCAAACCCGAAAAAGACTTCACAGCCAGACATAGTTGAGTCGCAGCAAAAACTTTTTCCATTTGCCAACACAGAGTTCACTTTTAGAGCGAGCGAACGAGAGAGGTGGAGGTACGACAATTTTAAAGTCTCCCGCTCGCACTTGGGCCAGGGAAAATTGCGCATGTATAATTAGTTTTATTTACCACCTGGCACACAAATTTTAATTAGAATTTATGCGTCCTTCTCCAGTGGCCTCCGCTGGCTCCCACTGCTAATCCTTTGGCTGCTCCTCTCGCTGCAACTCCTTCATTGTCTTCTAAGCCGTCTTTGGCAGTAAGGAATTTCCTGCTGGCCAAGCGATTTAACTTTAGCTAAAACACTGTGCACTGAGCAAACAGCTTGATTGAAAGTGAAAGGAAAATGTTTTACCAAGAACTCAGTTGTGTTTAAGCAGCGAAACACAAATAATGAACGATTTCGGATTCAACACCTACTTTAATATGTAATTTTAGTGGTTTTAAGTTTCTAGAAAAGAAAGATATTTCTCTCTTCGAATTCAATTTCCTTCTTTTCTCTGTGTAACAGTTTTTTGCCAAGCTAAACTGTAGTTGCTGGCCATATGTAATTCGAGTATTTCAATTATAAAAGCAATTTGCTGTAGGATGGTTGAGTTTCGATTACAATAAGCGTATTAGCTTACCAATTACCTAGCTGAGAAACCGAGTGGCCGGCTTAGGATATGACGAGAAAGGGTTAAAGATTACCATATCCATGAACTATTCATCCGGAGGGATGGATTGCGGAGCGTGTCTCAAATTTGGCAACACAGAGAATGCAAAAATAGTTGCCGGCACTTCAGGATGCCACAGTGTTGCAGGGCTTGCCATTTTAATTGCCATTTGCGATGGCATGGCAGCCACGTTGCGTATACGCCACGTTGAGTTGTCCACATTGTTGCCGCGAAGTGCTTGGGATAACTTTAGCAGCGGAGACTGCGTGCAACACAAAGGGCCACTTAAAGTTGGCACACAAGCGCTTTCGCAAAAGGGGATTTGCTTTGAACGAAACGAGAATGGGAATGAGATTGGCGGAGGTGGCGGAGGAGGTACCCAAGTGGGCTTAAAGGTCGGCGCCAATGTTGTAGTCTGTAATGCAATTACAAATGCAGGTGGAGCAGCATCAGCTGGAGCGGCATTAGTTGGCATCCAGCCAGGTGTCATCCAAAGGGCGCTCGAGTCCGACGGTGGATTCCCATTCCTATCTCCCTTTCGCTCATCTGAAATGGTTGACTTATCAACTAAAGTGCCGCATTAAAAGGACAGAAAAAAAAATAGAAAAGTAAAGCGCTTCGCCCTTTGCACATTTGCAGGGCCATTGAGCTCTTCGCCTGGACATCTCCAGCCCGCCACCTCCATATTTCCAAGTCCTTTGAGTGGGCATGACGCAGACAAAGGGCATTAGAAATGGTCAGATAAGAAGATATGCAAATGATCAGCAGCTGGGAGCGTGTGCGACTTAGGTTGAGTGCCAAGCCCGTTGGCAAGTAGTTTAAGCTGAAATGATTAAATGGGTAACTACTTACAAGAAATTTTCAATATTATCTTTCCAAAATCTGTGAAATACAAAAATTTAAAAGTTATTTTACTTGAGAAAGTTCTGTCAACTGAAAATTACTTCAACTTTAAAGAAAAGTAAATCTCTCGCTAACCATATTACTCATACGCACAGTTTCCCAAAAGGACAGCTTGAGTACCCTTCCCATAATTGCCAAAGTTATGCCCTAAGCCACATTACTCATACGCCATGGTGCTCATATATTACAAGTGTAAAGGTGACAAACTTTGGGTCTTTAATTTATGATGAAAGTGGCATACTTTTTGTTTTCTTCTTGTACTATTTTGTGTCATATTTACACCTATACCTAAAGTTTATTAGAAAGCTCAAAACTGTTTTGTTCCGATTCCCTTTCAATGCAAATGAAAGTGTTAGTCCGACCGCACTTGCCACACACACACACACACACACACACACACACGCAAAGTGGCAGACATCAAACATTAAGCACTTAAGGCCATGAATTTGATTCTGGTCGAGAGAACGAGGGACGAGGAGGACAAATCGAGTTTCAGGGACAGAGATCATGCGGCGACATGTCGGGCATATCAATCACTTGCCCTCTGCCGTTTCGACGAGCATAAACCTATTATTTTTCAACCGCAACTCAACTCCCCCTCCTCCTCCTTCGGGCTAGCTAAGCCTGCGGCAGCTCTACTCATGTTTCTGCCAACTCCGCAGCAGCGATGATAATTCGGTCAGTTCGGTCTGTCCCGACTTAGTCGCATGTCGGTATGTGGGCCAGTTGGCAGGATTAACTTGCCGGGGATTAACAGCGCCACTGACCGCAGACGGAAACTAAGAGACAGGGCTAGGGAGAGAGAGAGAGAGTCAGGGCCAAAAGCAGAATTAGGGGCAGCCAAAGTTGCAAGGAGCCAAACCGAAAATCTC